ATCGTGATTATGATTTTTGCCATAATCGCACAGCCCTACTGACTGTCTTTCTAATTAATATATATATATATAATGCATGGAAGATTTATAACTAGAATAGAAATGTGTTTTGTCCTCAGTCATTCAATACGTGCTTCTTTTGGAGTGTAAAGACTGAAAAAGGTGCCAGTGGTTGGGGATAATTGTTGCCTGTTGGGTGATTGAGTTTCAGATAAACTTAAGATCTGTTGGATCTGCAGCAGTATCCTCATAAAACAGCATGAGGAAGTCATGCTTTCACGAATATCTGCCACCATTCTGACTACAAAACCCTCTGAACACCTCAGAAGTCTTCAGTCAGTTTCCCGTATATTGTATCTAAACACTCTTTCCTCCCACTGTTGGTTTACTCAAGATGGAAATAATTGACGAATGTGAAAAACTGAAACTTTCACAAAGCCTGAGGCTCTGCACCAGCCAGTGGAGCTGAAGAAGGCTCCAGGGGGTGCAGTTCTACGTGTGGAAGATTAAAAAACTGATCTAGTTGCATCTGCACAGAAACTGCAGCAGACAGTGACCAGAAACCTAGATAAGATGTTTACAGGCTTTGGTTTGTTTCTGAGGAACAGGGACAGCATTTTTTTTTAAAACAGGATGAGGGCTTGAGTTTCTGGAGATAGGACATAAAAAGTATTATATCAATATATCGTTTCCTCTTTGTCTACAATATTCTTGAACAGTAAAAAACGACATAGTCATCCTTATTTCAAGTTTAACAATCCTAGAGTTTCAGCCCTGATTAGATGGTGAAATGATTTGCGTCTTTGTTACCCTTACTTTCCTTTCTCTCTCCACCCTAACCTTCTCTGTGCCAAAACAACACAACAGAATTATAAGATTACAACACTCAGTGTCTGTGGAGCTGGGCTGAGATGCCCAGATTTTAAAAGGTTGTGTGCTATAGACACGCACGCACACACACACACACACACACACACACACACACACACACACACACACACACACACACACACACACACACACACACACACACACACACACACACACACACACACACACAGCTTTTATATGTTCTGCTCTTATGGTGATCAGTGGTTTGAGCCAGAAACTGAAAACATGACATTCCTCTGGAGATCCATTAAGTGTAAAGTTCTTCCATCCTCCTAATCCTCTGTGTTGTTCACAACCTTTATTTGTTACAACAGAGACAAAGAAAGGTGGAAAAAGGCAGAGTTTAGGTTAAAATTTAAAAAAATTGATGTCGAAGTGGTTATGGCAGTTGTTGTATAAGTGTAATATAAGTTGTTGTTGTAGTGCTGGTAGGGATTTACCCTAAATTATAGGAATAAAGCATAATAATTATTGTTTTGTACTTAAATGTGAATCTCACAAAGATGTTGCATGTGAGTGTGTTAAGAGCCTCTTACAGGCACTCAGTAGTTGTATTGATCCATACTCCTCCAACCATCCACCCCCACAACACACACACACACACACACACACACACACACACACACACACACACACACACACACACACACACACACACACACACACACACACACACGGTCACACACACGGACACATTTTCGCTATCTCCTCCTTCCTCTCTTCCTTCCTCTGTTCCTCCAGTGGCAGACAGAGCTGTAAAAATCAATGCGGAAAATGTCCTGAAACAGCCGATCTAGAAGCCATCTGGCACTTGTTGTCCTCAGAGACCAGCAGTACGTCCCCTGAGGGCACGAGACACACGAAGAAGAAGAAGAAGCTGACAGGGGGAGAGGAAGAAGCCCAGGCATACAACAACACAAAGAAAGTGTTAACTCAATAACAGGCAAATTGTCAGTGTGGGCTACACATCACATGCAGTTACATAAGAGTTAAATTACATGCAGCTTATATATAGTAAGACTAGTTAAACATATTTAGCATGTAGCCAGATTCGGATTCAAATAAGCAATAGGCATGGGCAAGAAAAAAAACCTAACAAACTAAATAATTAACTATCCAAAAACAAGTTATTGTGTTCTTCCCCAGACATATAAGGTGACGCAGCTTTACTTTTGAATAACATCCCCTCCTTCAGTTGAAGCTTTTTGTTCCTTGACAAAACAAAGTGCCATCATGCTTCACTCTCTTGTCAAAATGTGAACAGAAGCCTATTGTTTCTTCCAGTTTCAAGTTTTTGACCTTTAATCATTGCTTCCTCATTAATCCAATTAATGTAATTTGTAAGAGTATAGCTAGATGTGTTCTACGGTTCATGTCAGGCTTATTAATAGTGTCAGAGGTGGAGGTAGGTTTCAAGAGAGAACAGTGGGACTGAAAAGTGGACTCTACGAACAAAAGAAGCAAGCAAGCATGAAACAAATGGAAAGAAAAGATAATACATGAAAGAATGACAGCAAGTGTAAAGAAAGAAGAAGTGAAAGTAGAGTACAGGATGACATAATCAATGAGTAAAAAGAAAGAGGGAAAAATATGGGATGCAAGACAAGGAAAGACCGATGTCAAGATATAAAGAAGACCAGTAATTGGGAGCAGACAATAAGAAAGTGTGAGGGTGAGCAACAAAGAAGCTTCAGGCCCATCTTCTATGAATTTAGGAATGCTGCTTTAATACAACTCAGCAGCACTTCAAAAGTTTAGAGAGCCGGTTGGAAATAATGTCTGCCATCTGATCCTATAAAAGGTTTTATGATCCTCTATAACAAACCAAACAGAGGAAACATCCTGTCTGACTGTCCTCTGAGTTCAGGTTCAGGCACTCATGTTGGTATTGGAGAACAACTCAGTGAACCTAAAAATCCCTGACACCAAACCAAATGTTCCAAAAACAACAAAAAACTGAGTGAGGTTATTTCAAACTGTTTCTTTTACTTCATTTAAGGCAGTGCTGACATTTTTGAAGCTAGGTTTTGTGTGTATCTTCAAAAAACAGCAACAGTCAGTGAGTTGTTCATGTACTTAGGAAACAAATAAGCTGCAGTCTCTCAACTCTGATGGATGAATCTCAGGGCAAAAGAGCTTGACTGAGTAAATATGTAAACGTTATGTTAACTATGTGTGAAAAACTTGGAATAGATTGTTATTATCTTAGCAGGTTAGAAGCGTTTCTTATATTAAAGATGGAACATGACTGACATCAATATTTGTTTTTCTTATTTACCAAAGGTGATATGATTATAGCTGTATTAGCCATTTTTGAATGACCTCATTTCAAACTGGCAGTAGTGTTCACAAGTCACAGTTTCCACAGTTTCACATCTTGTGTCATTTCCTGTAATACGGTCATCATTAGCAGAGCTCGAAAGTAACTTATTACATGTAATAGAGTAAAAAGTGCTTTCATTAACAATATTGTATAATGACTACATTATTTTGACTCTTCTGTCTTCTCACAGATCAGCAGTAGCCTATGGTGCATATTAGTTTATTCAGAGACATTTGGCAACAGTGAATTCAATTGCAGAGAATACATGCACTCATGGAATGTAACTACAGTATAGGTACATTTACGCAAGTACTTAAGTACAAACTTAAAGGTGGGGTAGGTAATTTTGGAGAAACCAGCTCGAGTGCGCTAGAATTTGAAAATACACAGCCGGAAAAAATCTGCCACTTTCTTACAGAGCCCCTCCTCCAACACACACGAACGCGCACATGACCAATGAGGGCACGAGATAAGTTTGTGCACAGATGGAAGGCTGACAGGCAGGTAGGCTATCCAGTTATTTTAGCCGGGCCGGCTAAAATGATTGGTCGTGCTTTTTACAGTATTACGGCTTCCACAGATGAATTTTTTTAGGGATTTTTTTGTCAAAGCACTTAAGATATTCATTGCTATCGGGATGTTAAGAGCATTCCATGGAATATAACAAAAAGTGTATCTCGAGCCGGTTTCTCAAACTTACCTACCCCACCTTTATGTATTTCTTATTCTATGCACTTTTATACTCATACATTTCAGAGGCGAATATAGTATTTTTTACTTTGATAACATTAGTAAGGTGCAAATTCTTAATACAAAATATAAAGTGCCAAATACAGTATGCTGTGTTACAAAGTAGTTTATGATTATATAATAAGCTACAATTATTCCATCCTTACTTTTAGCAACATTAAAGTGGTAATGATTATATTCAAGTCGCTGAAATACGCAATTCTGTATAAGGAGTAGGTTTACTTTTGGTATTTAAAGTATATTTTCAAGTTTGATATATTTATAGTTTTACTTCAGTAATATTTTAATGCATGACTTTTACTTGTGACATTATGTTTACACTGTAGTATTACTACTTTTACTTAAGTAAAATACCTCTTCTACTGCTGAATGAATACATATTTATTATGGGGCTTTCAAAATGCTAATGAAAGCGGATTTACGTGTACTCCCCAAGAGAACAAAAGGAGGATAAACTGTTGTAAAGTGAACAGGTGGGAGGATCGTGTTGAGCTCTTCCCTCCACTGCATCCCTGTTCTCCGCACAGACACCACATGGAAACCACATGGAGGAGTAGCTGTGGTGAAGCTGTCACACCTCAGAAAAACAACACAGCATCTTTTCTCCGACATCAATGCTGCTGCTTCTGACGCTCAGCTGCTAATTTCAACACATTATTAGGCTTTTTAACATATTTTTGTCGCGGTTTCCTCGAAGCAGCCGCGCTCGCGGTTTCCTCTCCGCTCGTGCAGCCTGTAGTGACTGAGAGCGGAATGCTGTCGGTTTTATATAGGCCTCTAAAAATAACTCACCCCTCTTTGCCATGTTCGGCCGGACTGACAGCGTCCTGCAGCCAATAGTGTCCCTGAATCCCTGGAAACCCCGCCCATTCCCTCAGTCTCAGCGCCTCCTTAATTGGACGCTAGTGACATCATCAACCCTATTTACCTTATTAGGTCACGCATGAAATTGACTGACAGGTGGCTCCTCCCCTGCCTCCCTCCCCTCTCGCGCTGTTCGCCTGGATTGCAGCGCGGTCCAGTCTGCTGCTGGAGGAGCAAACCTGGCAACCTGGCAGCTTGTACGGAGACCGATTGGCAATCTGGCAATGCGGAAATAGATCTGGCACCCCCGAGCTCGGACTGAGGAGAGAGGCGTGACAGAGCGAGTAAAGAGGAGCGGGGTTTGCATTTACAAAGATAAAATATCCAACTATTTCTTTCCGGTTAGCTTTTTTTGTTTCTTAATTAAAGTGCTCAGGTGCGCTCTTCTGCACCAGCTGGGATTTTTCCAGCGTTTGTTTTTCAACCTGACAAGTCTGAGAAGAAGGAAAGAAGAAGTGCGCGTTTCATCGTTTGGATTCCGGACTTCTTTACTGACTTTTCCTTTTCTGCGTCAAGCATGGATGTTTTGGCGAATTACAGTATTTTCCAGGAACTCCAACTCGTTCATGACACTGGTTATTTCTCTGCGATGCCTTCCCTGGAGGAGAACTGGCAGCAGGTCAGATATGATGCGTTTTCTCTTTCTTTTCCGGGAAATTGAAGGGGGTTTAACTGGGATGAAATACTATGTGTGAGCTTGTTGGTGTTTTCAGTGTTTCGCATCACTAGAGCGCTCCGGAGCGCCAGCAGCAGCCCCGTGTAGTTGCGTTAGTTTTTTTTTTCGCTCACATGGCGCACGGCAAGGTCCGCTGACAGGAGAAAACACACACACACACACACACACACACACACACACACACACACACACACACACACACACACACACACACACACACACACACACACACACACACACACACACACACACACACACACACACACACACACACACACACACACACACATGGTGAGGAGGAGAGATAGGACACAGACAGAGCTTTATACAATAATGGTACTAAATAATGGACAAACAGTATTTTAAAATGCTTAAAAACGACCCATACGAGCGAATTATCCCTTAGATGTACCTTAAACCTACTTAGGGCTTAATTAAACCTCTTAATCATTCATGTAAAAGCATGAGCATGACGTTGTGAAATCCCCCATGATGATATTCAGATTGAAAAAAAAAAAAGGTTTTAAATGCTGCAGGAAAAACTGAAAAAAGCTAAAAAAAAATTGCTTTTTCTTAAATATTGACATTTTGGAGATAAGAGGTTTAGGGCTTCACTTGGGTATGTTAAGGATCAAATGTGTACCTGTTTCTCCACTTACTTATCCCATACATATTTATGGTATTGGTAATATGAATGGCTTTTTGATTAAACTCAGAACATCCAGGTGGTCCATCTGAAAATGATGCTTCCTTTTACCAGGGGAGACAGACATGTAGGGCTCCACGTTGATCTGATAAGAAGCACATTTCAGCTGTTTTACCCCTTTAAGTGTCTTATTTGTTGTTGGATATTTTACCTTAACATTAATATCAGAACTTTAAGGTGGTTGTGGTTGAAATATTTGGCTCTCTTTTAACTTTCCATCAACGTTTTTGTCCTGTTGTATTGAATGGAGAGAGACTTGATGCTGCATTTAATTGACAGTTGAGACTCTGTGCTGATAGAAGGTGAAAGTGGTGGAGTGAATTTGTATTTCAGTCTGAGCTGATCATGGAGGACGCCGTTTTTAGTGTGACTGATCAGATCGATAGACCAGTCTGTCAGCCTGATATGTTTGGACACACACACACACACACACACACACACACACACACACACACACACACACACACACACACACACACACACACACACACACACACACACACACACACACACACACACACACACAATGGCGATTGAAGATGGACACATGCTTAATAGCTAGTGACGTGTTCTTAAATAATATATCCACATCTGCCACTGTTTGTTTGCAGATAATCCCACTGAATTATGCATTATCAGCCACTATAGAGCACATATATAGACTGAGCATGAGCGCCCACAGTCGTCTAACCTTTATCTGACATATCAAATATTTACTGTACTTGTAAAATAGATTAAAGGGAAAATATGTTGATTTTCTTTGTACCCCAGATGACCACGTGGTCTTTTGGTGGTTTGTGTGAATAAAACATACCCTTTCTCTGAGTAGAGTAAAGGTTTCACAACCTGATTGAGGAGTTAATGCAGGATTTATGCTCAAAATACATAATAATTTAATAACAGAGAATCAGGCGATACAAATATTTGCCCTCAAGTTCCTCCCCTTGAACTTGAGAAATCGAAGCTGTTAATTGGAAGCTATATTCAGCCTTGTGTGTGAGTGTGTGTTGCCACCTTTATATGCCATTTCATGTGTTTATAGACCTGATGAAGCCAAGACTGCATATCTGCTCTCTATCTGTCTTACTGACACAAATTCCTACTGCCTCTTCCTATTTTTCGTGCCAACAGCACATAGTTTCATCCCTTGTAACCCATTTTTTCCATCTGTAATCATATTGTTAAATGATTGAGAGGTTCCATAGAGTTTTAGGTTTTGATGTCACGTCTTATTTTCCACAGAATTGCTGGATAAGCTGTTTGAATGGATGCCTATAAGACAGGAATGTAGAGCTGGAGGGGGGGGGGGGGGGGAGTAATTCCACTCATTTGATCCGCAGTTTTATTTACAGAAAAGAGTTGTACATATTTCAGCCTAATACATAGACTGTTGAACTAAAAAGAGAGTATACTGTAAGGTGTCGTTTGAAAGTTGACAGCTATGTGACACCAGATGTGTGCCACTAATGCCAAAAGTGAATGAAAGCACATGTTTTTTGTGAGTGTTGTTTATTTGGATCCCCATCAGTTGTTTACATGACAAATACTAGTGGCAATAAAAGGTATTGGGGAGAAATTGAAAACGGTCTTCTTGATGGGGAATCCTGGCATTTGTATTCTTGAGCTAAACTACATTCATCATGTGGACAGAAGCACGAAGACTGTTTTGTTCCTTGTTTTTTTGGATAGCATTTTTCCTTTGCTTACTATGCTAAGCTAGGCTCACAACATCATGGACCTGTCTTTAAAAAAAAACGTCATTTATATTCCACCTTTCAAATATTTGAAATACTATGTGGGAGATTGGTTTTGTTTTTGTTTTAAAGATGAGCTCAGTTTTTCTGGATGGAAAATGCTGTTATTGTGGATGGAAGGCCAAAGCTGATGAAACGATGTTCTGTCAATTGTATCCGCACTAGTGGGGACAATCTCTGAGAGAGGAGAGATACACACACAGAAACACATGCACAAACACACTCACACACACACACATACTGAGACTAGACACACACACACTTTTTCCACTTGTGTTCCTTCTGTCTCCCTCTATTCCCTCATTCACTCCAATACACACACATCACACACACACACACACACACACACACACACACACACACACACACACACACACACACACACACACACACACACACACACACACACACACACACACACACACACACACACACACACACACACACACACACACACACACACACACTCGGCTGGCATGCACTAATGGAAAGCTATGGTCTGGCAGGACTCATCCCGCCACTTTCGACAGTAATTGGCCGTTTGCTGTCAGACGGACAAAGAAACACACACACACAAACACACACAAACACACACACAAACACACTAACAAAAAAAAAACTGATATGTGTGTCATTTATCTTTCCTGTCAGTCCCTGCATCATGCTCCTGGTCTGTTTCCTTGTGCTGGCTGCTTTTATCAGCTGCTTTGCATCATGACTAAACATGTGGAAAACACACACACACACACACACACACACACACACACACACACACACACACACACACACACACACACACACACACACACACACACACACACACACACACACCACTCTCTCTTTTTCGCCTGTCTATCAGCCTTGTTGCCTCTGACAGTATGAGCCCATATTCTGCATATAATTGCTGTGTCTATGCAGGTCTGGAATGATGTTATGGGCTTTAGGGATTTGTGTGTGTGTTGTGTGTCTGTCCAAGGAAAAAAATGGCAAACCCAGACTTCCCAATTAGATATAATCAATTTATTTCAAAGCAGAGCCATGCCAAAATCGGATGAGCCAGAGGGAATAAGTGACAACTAAGGGTTTTTGGTAAATGAAAGCTGAAGCAGAGGTTTAGGCTTTGTGTGGTTGTTGTGAATACAAATGAGCATTAGCAGACTCCTACAATACAGTAAATAGAGACAACATGCAGGTAACCATCCTCATTGAGATGCCTAACGGTACTTGGATACTAACTGATTCTCTCACAGTGTCTGTCTCATTCTGCCTCATGGTTTATGTACTCTGTGTCTGTAGTTCTTTTCAAGCTGATTGATTTATAACTGTGGTGTCGTTACAGCACTATGCTAGAGCTCCTGTGTTACTGATATACAGTGTCTCCATTAGTCCTGACAAGCCTGCAACCTATAGCCCTGCATCTTCCTCTCTAGAGCACGCCCTTAGTATTCTGCACATTCAACCATTGCATGTGCTTCAACCCTCACATGTAGACATACTCACACATCTCACCAATAAATACTATTTTCAACATTAAATCATCCAATTCAGAACCAGCTAAAAGCCCAGGACACAATTAAGATATGCCCTCGCGAGGGCAGAGCTTATTCTCAGGTTGTGTATCGCCCCTAAAAGGTGCATTATTTAAAACCTTAACTCTTTCTTACACTGTACTTTACCTACACTGCGAGATAACTCAGGCTGAGCGTTTGACCTATGGACCTGCTGGAGTATGCTACACAGGCTGGGAGGAAATACTGCCATATGGCTTAAACCTAGGTCAACAAATCCCATCAGGCTTTTTAATGCAGCAAATTATTTAAATGTCTTGTACTTGTATAATCCACATTCTCCACTTGCAGACTTATAATGACAGGATACACATTACCACAGTGTATTGCAAAGTTATGTATAAAGTTAGCACTGACTCCTCAATGATTCCTGTGGAGATGGTTTCTTTTATGGATTTAGTTTGTATTAAACGTTGGTTACCCGTTAACCTAGTGCAAAGACTGCTGCATACAGTAAACTGGATTCTTTTCTAATGTCTCCCTATCTCTTTCTCTCTCCCTGTGGCTTGAAGCTGGCCCTGGGAAGTTTGACAAGATAATGAATTGCCATGTATGCGGCAGTTTTTCACATTTCACAGCCCAGTAACTCTGTATGTAGGGAAGAGGGGGATAAGTGGAGGAAAGAATGAGGGAGAAATAAAACACCAGTAGACACAATACATGAGGTAAGAAGCATCAATGCAGGTCAAAGTTCGTCAGCAAAGAACATCCTTTTTTTTAACTCCATCTTCCTCTTGTCTCTCTCGCCATCCGTCCTGTGTTACCACAGACACACACTGTTACGTAATTGTCTGTGGTGCACAGCTGCTTCCTCATAGTCATAGCAGATGAGAAAAAGAGGAAGAGATAGAAAAAAAACAAAGGAATGGAGAGGAAATGAGGACAGAGATGACAGTGACACAAGTGAGGTGAAGA